AAACAAGTTACTTGAGGGCCTTCATGTTATGATGGTAGGTTGAAGACCAAAACACAGGAAAAAGCCCCTACGGTACTGTAATCTATCCATGACACAATACATCTGTTTAAAACGTGTATCAGGGCTGCGTGTTTACTAATGGCGCTGAACGTCCCGTAAAGTAACATATGGTAACGCAGTTATTTCATCCCTCTTGGTTCAAAACCCCCCAAAAATTGTATTACATGTTTTGAAATAGTTCATCGTACTAATGACACGGTTGTGCAACATAAAGAATACTTTCCTATGTTGCGGGTGTTTAGGAATGTGTACAAGGACAATCGCACCCTGGAGTTGGCCTGTGACTCTCAGGAAGATGTGGAAAGCTGGAAATCTTCTCTCCTGCGTGCCGGGGTCTATCCTGAGAAAGTCATGGCGGTGAGCAAACGCATTCATATTCTGCGCTCAGTTGGTCCTTTTGTCTATCTGTGTCTCAGTTTCTTAGCTTTTGATCCCATCATATTATCATTTACTGACTTTACACTACTTGTAAAGACTTTATTGTTACTATTGTTATTCGATTTTAAAATACTTGACATTTTCCACATTTCAAAATATTAAGTATATGAATACGGATAATAAATAATAAACACATTTGGCAAATGGAAAAACGTTTTTTTATTTACTGTATTAACATTTAAACTGCTCTTGCTATTATTTCAGTAAAACACAGCAGCCAATATGTTTTGTAGATTTAATCCCATACTCGCATAAACTTCCCCCTTTTTCTCTCCCTTTGTTTAAAAATTCATTTTCCTTTCTCCTTCTACAGGTTGAGAGTGAGACCACCACCGCTGCAGATAACTTTTCCATGGACCCTCAGCTGGAGCGTAAAGTGGAAACCATTCGTAACCTGGTGGACTCCTACATGGCTATCGTCAACAAGTGCATCCGAGACCTCATGCCCAAGACCATCATGCATCTCATGATCAACAATGTAAGAAAGCGTCAGTCACATTTTCATTTGTTACTGTATTAAGCTACTGCTATAGCGACAGGACCTCCACTGAGTGAAAGGCCAGTGCTCTTCCTTCGTTGTCACAATTCTGAATGATCATCCTGCCACTAGGTCAAGGACTTCATCAATGCTGAGCTGTTGGCCCAGCTGTACTCTGCTGGTGACCAGAACGCCTTGATGGACGAGTCCCAGGAGCAGGCCCAGAGGAGGGATGAGGTGCTGAAGACTCACCAGGCCCTGAAGGAGGCCCTGGCCATAATCGGTGACATCTCCACCACCACCATCACCGTCCCCGTGCCTCCGCCTGTTGACAGCTCCTGGGTGGGAGGTCCAGGTGGTGCTCGCAGGTAAAGTTACTGGAAACCAAACTGACCCTGCATGCACATCCCTTCTGCGCTCTTTCGTTCCTCAACATTAATCAATGCCTATCATCTCCGCTGCTCCAGGTCTCCTCCATCCAGCCCCACTGCCTCCAGGAGGATGTCCTCAGGCCAGCGGCCGAGCCCCCGAGGGGCCCCGCCACCACCAAACCGCCCAGGACCCCTGGGGCCCTTCAATAACAGTGCTGACAGCCCTCAGGCTCCCAGCCGCCCCAACAGGGCCCCTCCTAGCATCCCCAGGTAAATACCACACGTCTTTGAGGGTATATGAATTATCAGTACCGTAATATTGATGGTAGTATTTGTCACTGGAATGAATCATACTTTATCTTCGTCTATCTCTACAAAATGTAGCTTTAGGATACTTTTTTTTTTTAAGAAGTGAAATCTATTTACGTGGAACTGGACAATAGGATTATTTAAAATCTAATATGCTGCTAAATGAAGAGCGTATTTCTTTCCTGTGCTGTGTTTTTTAGTAAGTGAGTAAAATGTTCAAGAAATTGTTTCAGAGAGTTCTTTCCAGGAAAAGTCTTTTCCCCATCCAGTCGTAAAGACGGCTCGTGGCAGAAGCTTCACATTTTTTAGCCTCTTATGTACCTCTGCAATTTTGCTTCCAACAATCTTTACATCGGTAGTTTTGACTCTTTGACTCTTTGACTCTGCGAGTGGTTGAAGATGTTTCTACTTCTACTATTTTACTTTGAAACCAAACATCACATCTCTTAAACCTGCGTGACGACTAAACCCGTCTCTTTTCTTGTCTCCTTTTCTCTTATTTACTACCTTCTTCTCATGTGTCTCATCTCCTTTCCGTCCCATTCTCTGACACTTCTCCATGCACATTATCACTCGTTTTCACACCCAAGCCGGCGGCCCCCGCCATCTCCCACAAGACAAGCCCCGCCATAAACCTCTGAAAGGGTTCCTCGTACACTTATCTTCCTCACTCATCCATCCCATCACTCCTCTATTAGCCATTCCTCTGCAGTCCCGGACCCTCCTCCTTAGTCTCCTCCTTAGTGCAGACAATGAAGTCTTTGACCCCTTGACCCTCAATTCCCTGCCAGGTGACGACGTCCATATGTATGTACAGTATGGTACTTGTATTGTGGTGTATGTGTATGTGCGCTTGTTAATCGCCTGTGGTCCAGGTTTGCTTAGCAGATCCACCACCCAGTATCAGTCCCTGGAACCTCAACCCCTCTCTTGCAAACCCCTCACCAAGTCAACCACTGCCCCCACTTGCTGCTTCTACACAAAAATATGCTCAGCAGCCGCACTGCCCTACTCATTCCAAAATGCAGCATGGCACATAAGCTGCTTTTATTGCATGGGAGTGTGTGTACTGTATGTAGAGTGTGTGTGCACGTGTTTTGTGTGTATGTATACGGGGGAGGGACTAATTTGCCTATATGTAGGCGGGGTTTGATTTAGTATTGTATGAATTTATTGTATAATGCCCCCTTAAGTGTTAATTATCAGCTTAATGTTCTCTTAGGAACAGAAGTTGTATCTTAGTATGTGGGCGTGTACGTGCGTGTTTGTGTGAGAGTAACTCTGTGTACTTGCGTGCGAGTGTGCGAGGACACGTGTGCATGTGCCGTCCGTCTGCACGTTTGTTGCCGTTTCATTTGTATTTGTTTTCATGGTCAAAGCTGTTAATGGTGAATCATAAAACCCCTTTGGGGTAAATTTAATGTTGGACTTTTGTGAGTTGTTCCTGTGTTGTAGTAGCAGCCACACACACATAGCAAGGCTGAGGAGCACTGTCAGTATTCTCTATATGGAAACAGCCTCAATAACACATTTAACCTTCTCATAGGTGTCCACCTGTGCTGTATCAATGGTCAAGTTGTGACCCTTGCAGCCTTAAACTCCGCTTCAGATGCTGACCTGTGAGATGGAGAAAAAAACAACAAAAAAACGTTACCCGAGTTCCCTATTGAACGAACAAAGAACATGCATTTACATGTTTCCATCTAGACTTTTTCTCAGGTTTGAAACTTGCAACCCCTTGGCCATCCCAAACTAGCGCTCCCTTCTCAACTCTATAGTCTCTCGTATTTCCCTCACAACCATCCGGGCTAGTTGGTCAGCATCTCCATCAGAGCTTAAGGCGGTATTGTCAATGTTCAAGTGCTTCTCTGTCAGTTTGTTATTGTGTATGTGGGCCTAAACTGTTTTTCTGATGTATATAGGCAATGATAAGGAGATACTGTACCTGTGGACTATTAAGACCTCATCAAGGATCCTAGCGCTTTAATCGTTCTCTGTGTCTCTATTCACTAAATGCTCTCTTCTCTCTGATTTAGACTGCCTTACTGGCATGAGTTACACTTCTGTATTGCCAAAGCTAAATGTAGAAAGAGAATTGGAAAGTTGAAAATAATTCATCAAATCAACAAGGAAATGGTTCTAGTTGTAGTGAGATGGCATTGTTTAGCAGAGGGCATAATATTAAACCGGGGAATTGCATCGGTTGTTATTTTTTTGTGTCTCTGTATCGCTCCTCAATAAACTTCTTCCTCATAATGTCTCACTTTGTCAACAGTCTTTACTGTAGAAGCCGGTAGGTTTAATAACCTAGTAAAACAAGTACACGCTAAATTATTTAAATTAAAAATAAGGATTGTCTCCTCCTAAAAGTCTGAATATGAAGTTAAACATACTTTGCTATTTTGCAAGCACAATGTTCCTCACCCTATCAAACACCATTAATGTATTCGATATAAGGGATGCAATACAATAGTAAATTTTCAATATATGTTAGTGGCTTTCTTTGTGGCTGATGCGTACTATGCAAACTGCGTACTTTGAAAGACCAAACCAACTCATTTAATATTACATCTATAGGATTACCGAGGAATCTTAGCCCGCTATGGCTGGGAAGCCACATGATGGCAGCAGAGACCTTACTGAGTGTACAGTTGTTCCAGTGGTTAAGGGATTTAAAAAATGGACAAACTATTTCAGTTCAATGTTGCTTGATTGGGATAAACGGGCACTGCAATGATCAACAGCAACAGCTGGCATGTTGGATGCTGATCAAGTTATTATATCCGTCCTATATGTCCTAATACGTCTTATAAGGTGAATGCTCGTATGCTGTGTGGTTACAGTAATTGAAATGATCACATAGTAGATAGTGTGAGGGTGTGAGATTTTTCATGTAGGAGGTGCACCCTTTCACTGGGCGTTAGACTAGTAGTTAGTTTCGTGGCCCTCACCAAGGGGATTAAAAGAATTGCTTTGAATGTTGCTCTGTTGGCTCCATCTAGTGACCTCAACGTAAACATGCAATTTGTAAGACAGCCTGGATTCAATATCAGGTTACTGCAGTATATATTTTTTGGTGAAAACATGAGGAAATAAAGTCCCACTACCAGATCAGACCTTGTGACCTTTTTGGATTGACCCGGATGAACAATAAAGTTATGACATGCTATTTGGACATCGTGATTGTAATCATCGCAACCGTGGTGACTTGTAAAAGGAGTCGTCGACACAAAACACGTCACTAAAAGCAGCGCCGCCCACGCAGGCGACCGTTCCCATCGAAACAAACGCCCCTTCCACATGCTCAGTTTAAACTGCGCACCCGCCTCTCTGCCTTCTGATTGGACGGTTGAGTCGCCCGCTGATACGCACCGACAATCGGCATAGGCAACAGCAGGTTGTGTGTATGTGTGACAGTTGTTAGCATCACACTTCACCGGAGAAGCGGCTAGCGTTATCTAAGTTAAGTCAACAGGAAGTGGCGGGTGAATTTATATCCTACACAACTCCGGAGTGCGCTCGCCCGCAGCGGGAGACAAACCCCATTTCCGAGTAACGTCACAGCGAGGATGTCCGTCCCGGCCGGAGAGGGATGAAGATGAAACCGCAGTTGTGGCGAGTTGTGTCAGTGTGGCTGTGTGTGACTGTACTCTGTTGGTGAGTTCACTTCATTCGAGCCGAGTCGCATTGTCACGTCAGTGACTGTAAAACGCATTCAACTCAAGGGGGTTACAAAGTGTTTCGTTAGCTGGCTAAGCTAACGAGACGCTGCGATGTGGCGCCTGGCTGACTTCTGACTTGCGTTTAGCTCGAGTTTCTCATCAGCGGTGTCGTTACTTTTACTCGTTGACGTCAGCTAGGATTAACACGGCCAGCGTTAGCCTTGTAGCAAATGCAACGTGTACAACGTCAAAGATGGTGAACCGTCGAACGGGTGTAACTTCCTCCACGTGAAAGTGCATCGTACTTAAGTTACGGGGCGATTAACGCTAGTTAACTATTAAGCTAACGTTAGCTAACACAAGTCGTAGCCGCCACTGGAGACTTTAAGTTAAGTCACTGTCATTCGGTTGTTCAGCTCCTGTCAGGGTGGTGGTGGGGGGGCTCCACTGTCCTCTGTCCACTGTCCACTGTCCTCTTGACAGCTGGAGGTCGTCACGTTACAGGCAGTACACAGGGACATTATGTAGGGTGATTTTGAGGGTCGCTGCAGCACACGCGGACTGCTGTGCTTGAGATGGAGAGGAGAGGGACGGCGTGTTATTGTGGGTGTTAAGATCCATGTTGTTGACCTGACCTACTTTCACCAGCACAGCTTCTCGTTAAAGCTGTGGTAATCATAAGGATCTTTTTGAAGTCTGCCTCTGCCGATGGTTCAATTGTGGGCTGAACAAGTTTTGAAAAAACAAAATCAATCTAATTGCAATTTCTTTTCGTCTTATTATTGTGTATGAACGACATAATCATTCTCACTTTTAAGGGTGCGATGTCGTAGTTTATTCTGGGATCTGTATTGAACACCGATGTTTCCATGTGTCAGTAGAAGCCAGGACATTTCTGCACCACGACAGTATTTAATGTTGACTTGTATTTTGACGTACATTTTGTTCTTAACAATTATTGGGCCTAATGCGATTTAAAAGTTGCCTCAGGCCATATTGCAATTTTGATTAACTGCAGCCCTGGCATCATTCAGTAAGATGAGAAAGAAGAAGCTGAGCAATTCTGTCAGTTTATTGATGTTAACTTACTGTTTGTAGGGTAAAACACCGCTATACTTGTTGACATTGATTATGGCCCCTGTTCCATTTAGGTGGCCCGTGGTATTGTGAAGGCTGACTCAATGGACGGTCAGTGACATTAAATAGAATGGTTCTATATTTAATTCAATTTAATTTACCCTGCTGTTGTATGTGAAACAGCTGCTTTAAAAATGGGGCTGAAGTGCTTGTTGATCACCTGGAATAGCAAACTGGGACACTTCATTCAGAAAAGGAAGCAATGGTGGAACTGACTGTTAATTATTTTCTTGACTGGATAATTTTCTTAAAAATTAACTAAAGTCGATCTCAAATAGGATTGGCCTGTTTTTACTGTGAGAGTGGCGACCACCCGAGATTTTACTAAATTCGAGACTTATGCCTTTTTAATATTTGGTTATATTTAACCATTTAGGGTTATTTTTTACAGAAATTAATTATGTACTATTATCGTGATCGAGACATGCAATATGCTGGTGCCTTCATGTCAAAGGAAAACGATATCATGAATCACTGTCGCAATATAGATGAATTGTTCTGTCTCTAATATGAATTCCTTTCCTTCGTCAGCTTTAAAGTCCTTATTAGGATTGTGACCAGTGTCATTTTTTCATCTTTGAAACAGAGCTTCGGTTAGACCGTTTCTTGATTGTATGAAAGGTGCGTAGTGCATGAAATAATTATTGCCATATACGTGACGGCATAGTGCCACGTACTAAATCATCTTATCACGTTATTACACAAGTTGAAAATGGGAGTAATCAGTGATGCATCGCGTCATGTGACACGTGAGTTGAGATGTGCCACATACACATGATCTTTGTATCTTTTGTTAAACTCCACTGTAAGTACAGTGCAGTGGGCTCGCCCACAGAGGAATATCCATGTCAACATGAAGGGAACACCTAGAAAACATTCCCGTTTTTTTTCTAGCATTTTCTCTCTAAAGTCTCTGCTTTCACTCTGCCTGTTTTATTATTGAGAAAATGATGCCTTAACACCATCCATGCTGCTTTTAGGGTTTTTTCAGTTAGAAAACAATGTCTCTGTTGTTTGCTGAAATGTCTCTCGCCAGTCTGGCCCCTAAAGTCCGATCAACAAAGCAGTTGCACCAGCCGGCTGGTGACGTGGCCGTGGGCCAAGTTGAGCGCTTGACCTGGAAACAAGGATCAAATCCAGATAATTCCACGGATTGTTGACAAGTTTGCCATCTCTGTCGAAGTGGGGCCTTTGAGACGGTTCAACGAGGATCTTTTCCCCGCAGGAATTTCCATTATTATTGCAGACATTTAAAGCCTTGTTCCTGCTAATTGTTGTTGTTGTTTTCCTGTCAGCAGTGAGCACAGTTCCAGTGAACCTGAGCATTATTTCTGTCACGGCATCGCATACAGCATGAAAACTGTGGTGTTTGAAACAAACAGAGACACGTTTGATATCTCTACAGTTAAACCTAAATAATTGGCCTATGGCCTCGCATGTTACCATGACACTGATTTTCTTTCTCCTTCGTCTCGCAGGTGCTTTTGTTATGTCGGTTGCACAGAGTCGCTCCAAGAGGCCCAGAGGACAGTGTCCTCACAGGACGTCGGTTCGGAGGAAGAGTCGGGGGAAAAGAGTCGTCATCACAAGGTAGCATCAGCTGCATGTTATCATCTAACTACCCACAGGTGTATAATAAACTCATGTGACCATACAGCACACAGTAAACCTGCTGTAATACTAGACCCGAATGGGATTTCTAGTAGTAACATAATGGCATCACTAGGATTATTTTTCTCCTGTGACTGAACCGTCCCCTTTCATGGTGTCAACGTAATCTATTTGTATGGCTTCATCTTTAGGTTGAGGAAAACGGTGTCCTAGCGGCCCACGCCTTATCTGAAAATGAGCAGTTCATTGAGAGGCATTGGCAAGTAGAGGAGCAGAAAACACAAGAAGTGGATGAGGATAAAAATCAATACATAGAGGTACAGTATTATTTAAGTTTGTAAATTCCCCAAAGCACTTTTCTGCTGTGACATTTGTTTAATATGAATGAATGATCATTTCAAAGACGACACTTTAAGGGTCTGGTTGGTGAATCCAACTCTGGCTAATGGGCCAACGGTTTTAATATTTCTTTGCACAGTTCCAGTTTCTCTATGTTTATCCATCAGGCCTTTGAAGTAGAGGAGCCAGCTGGAGAGGAAGAGTTGGAGACAGACAAAGACATTTCACAACCTGAGCCGGAACATGAGCAAAGCTCTGAAAATCAACATCCTGAGACCTCCATCACTGCAGACGAGGACTCTGCCTCCCTGCTGCCTTCCTCCCACCCGGCATCTGAATTTGTTGCTGTGCTTGAAGACGACTCAAACCCCCATAATCCTCAAGACAACATCCCTGATAGGCAAGATATTTCTACCTCCAGGCTTTTAAAAAATATGTCTGTTCCGCTGAATCTCATTGTGGTGTTTCAGGAAATGTACACTGCCTCGGGTAACCGCACTGCATGAAAGCGAGTTCCTTTTAAAAATAGGTGCTTTTTTTCCCCCCGTAAATATATAATGGCTGCAAAAGTCGTAACACGGATTGTTGTTTCATTTCAGAGTTTCATATGATGCAGCTGAACCCGAGGTCATCGACTCCGACCTGCCTCCAGCACACTGTGAAGAAGAAGAGAATAACCCATATGACGTTGACAGGTGGGTACGGTGGGAACTTAATGAGCTAAAAATATCATAACAGTAATAGTTCTCTAGTATTTCTGTCAAGTTGGCTTTCATTGTAAGCAGCTGAATCAGGTTACAGTTCATCTCAAATAAATTAAACTGGAGTCTTGCGCTCTCAAACAAGACCTCGATGTTTTTTCTTTATTCTTACAGTCCTCCAATTGTTCTGGAGAACACGTCCAATGTTCACACTGCAGGCACCAAAACCGAGAGTGACCCAACTCCGACTTCTCCGACTGGTCACAGCACAAAACATCTAGAGGCCAACGCATCATACGCGCCACAAGAGAAGGTAAGGAGCTTGGATACCGTGTGAACTATTTTCCTCTCTAACAGAGGAGGTGCCCCAGCTCTCATTTTCTCATTAACTCTGACAGGACACCAGGTCCCTCGTCACCAAAGGCCCAGATACCAGTGTGAGCACCAAAGACCCCGAGGACATCCCCACTTTTGATGAGTGGACGCGGAAGATGATGGAGGTCGAGAATGAGAAGAGTAAGATTAAGAGTTTGTCCTTTTTTAATTTCTCATTAAGATGATTCATAGCAAAACGTCCTGGTAATTCAGTTGTTTGTTTTTTCTCTCAACAGCTCAGTCAACTCACACTTCTAACAATGTGGCTCCTCCCTTGGTGAAGAAGGTACAGAAGAACTTCAATAACTACGCTTCAGTGGAGTGCGGAGCCAAGATCCTTGGTTCTAACCCAGAGGCGAAGGTACTGTATGTGATACGAATGCCTATAGAGTAATCTGCTTACTCTAATGGAGGCTGACATAATACTAATGCAGCAAGCGAGTATTGATCACTGAATTTGTTCCCTACAGAGCACTTCGGCCATTTTGATGGAGAACATGGACATGTACATGCTAAACCCCTGCAGTAATAAAATCTGGTATGTATTTGCCTGTTTCCTGCTTTCTACCTAACGAACGGACGCTTCTTTTAACCTCCACCTGAGGCCAGCGTTGTTTTTAAAGGCCTTTTTGTTTTTTTCTCGTTCTCATCCAGGTTCATCATCGAGCTCTGTGAGCCCATCCAGGTGAAGCAGCTGGACATCGCTAACTTTGAGCTCTTCTCCTCCACCCCCAAAGACTTTCTCGTCTCCATCAGTGACAGGTATGAGGCGCAGATACCATACATGCAATATCCACAAGGATAACACCAATGCTGGTATTCCTTCAGTTTTTGTATTTTGGTAGAAAAGTATTTGACTTGAAAACAAATGGTTGAGTTCTCAAAGAATGAATTCACACATACAAAACATCTTTTTAACAACAAAATCAAAATGTCTTTTTTATCCCAGTAACATGATTTTTAATGAAGTTGAAGTGTGAAGTTCTAGCCCTAAAACACCGAGACATCCATATACCTACGTTGTGCAAATCCTCTGCTCTAGATACCCGACAAACAAGTGGCTAAAGCTGGGAACCTTTCACGGCCGGGATGAACGCACAGTCCAGAGCTTCCCATTGGATGAGCATCTTTATGCTAAATATGTGAAGGTAAGTTTTTCTCAACACAGCACTGTGTCTGTCTCGATTCTATGCTAATGTCGTGCAGAGGAATCGCTGTCCAGCTATTTTCTCTCTGAATTTCTTTTCAATGGCCTGTAGAAAAGTAGGTCTTGACCCTTTTGTGAATAACTGTTTCAATGTTTCAATTGGACGTACAGATCTTTTTGAAGTAAAATGATGATGTTGTTGTTTGTTTGGCTTTTTTATAATTACTCAAATGAAAACCTGTTTAAATGCATGTGTACATCTCTTTTAATTCTTCTTTTTCTGTCTCTCTTGCTTCAGATGTTCACCAAGTACATAAAGGTTAGCATGCTTTTCTTGTAGAGGTCTGTGGTTGTGTGAGCTGAATTGCAAACAGGGAGAGGGATGTATTTTGGGTCTTTTTTTCACAGTGGTGTGATCAACTCTAAACACAGTAATTTAAGTTGCTACGCTAGTTGCTAACCCATTAAAACCACAATAAATACTCACAGAGGATGAACGTGTGATAACTCCTAGACTAATATAATGTCAAATGATCTAACCATGACTGAGATGTTCCTCAGGTGTTTTGTTAATCAGTCTCTCAATGTTTCATTTCAACCCATTGTGTTAATTTGACAACTAAACAAAAGCATGACTGTGCTGTTTGTAAATGAAATAAAAACGAGTAGAGTGCTGCGGGAGAGAGTCCTGACGCATAGGAGTGAGTCAGCATTTTTGCATTTCAGTTTCTCTCCTCTTCAAGTCATGATGTTTGGATTCCATGCCTGAAATAAAGTCTGTCATTGACACAAGTTCAGGGGATTTTAACGCTTTGTTATACAATATCAAGTACGTCAGTAGCTACCAGTATTGTGAATTTTAAAGCTTTTATGTGTCTTAAAAAGGCTTTTGCTTTCAAGTGTCAAAACATCATCATGCTAACTTGATCGATTGTACAGCCACGTTGTATATACTCGGGGTCACGTCACTGGTAGTTCTTTTATAGCCCAACGGTAGCTTTTTACCTTTTACCTCTGCTTCAAAAATCACAAAAGTATTCTTCAATTGTGAAGATTACTGTGCTCAACAACTGTGGATATTCAAAACTTGGGTTAAATAGACACACAGCTTATTTTCTGCAATAATCCAATGGAAAGTCCCAATGGCTGGATGGAGTGAACCTGTGCGGTCTACAGAAACACATCCTCCCTGCAGCACTCTATACGTCATTCTCTCATTAATATCTGAATATCTGTTTCTTTTTTTCCTCTTTTACTAGGTGGAGCTGCTCTCTCACTTTGGCTCTGAACATTTCTGTCCCCTGAGTCTCATAAGGTACTTAATGTTAAAGCAATGTTAAGCCTTCCTAACATCCTCGGGGACAGTGTGTGTTTTGACGTAACCTTAACTCGCTCAAAGAACGTTTTTCTTTTTCGCCAGGGTGTTCGGCACAAGCATGGTTGAAGAGTACGAGGAGATCGCTGATCCCGCAGAAAGACCAGATGATCAGGACGATGACTTGGGTAAGAACGTGGATGGTCACAAATAAATACACACAAACCAATTGGGATTATCGTCACTTGCACCAAAATCAGAGAGTGGTCTGACAGTCGTAGTTGTCATGCACTGCTCGCTCCAGATTATCCTCCTGGATACGCACCCGGTGAGGACCGGTTATCCAACAACCTGATTGGATCAGCAAAAGGTAAGTAGAGTTAAAATGGGTTTCTGCTGCATAAAGTTGATTTTACCAGTATCCCAAACCTGGAAAAACTGTATTTACTTGTTTTTCTCCCCTTCAGATGTGATTCTGAACATGGTCAATAACATCGCTGTCAATGTTCTCGGTGGAGGCTCAGAGATCCCAGGTATGACCTGCACAGGTTCCCGCCCGCTGCCTCCGGTCTCCAGTTATCGCTCACAACCTTTCTTTGTTTTTGAAGGAGATAGTCTGTATTTGCAACGATTAATTAGTTGACTACAAGTGTTGCCGATGATTTGAGTAACTTATATTTGTTTGTGTGTTTTTTTTTTTTCCCCCCCATTTCCTTTTTTGTAGGTAACCTTTCGTCACCGGGCGTGAACGTGACTGAGCCATCAGCCCAACTTGAAACCAGCTCTCCAGCTTCCAATAGAGACCTCACCTCGGGGTGAGTACATGTCACGAGTCTTATGATAGCTTTTGTAATTGTGAATTCACCTTCACCAAACCGTAACTGGCATCGTTTTCAGAGTAAAACAAAAGTAATTTCATTCTACTGACTGATTAAAATGTTATTGCTTCTGTAGATGATGGTCCAATGCACTCTATGCTAATAGAGATACGAGCGGGATCACTGTTCCCACTTAAAGAATTGGGCCACAACTTAATACGTCATTTCAGTCCCTAAGCAAAAGAAGACTTTATGGCCGCAGCCATAGCGAAGTGAATGCCTATCATATTTAATCTACACTAAAAGCTATGTAAAGCTACCTGTATGATTACACATGCTTATTTTTCCTATAAAATCTTGTAAATGAATGTATAATATTACAAAGACCCTAAAACCTAATGCTACATTGGCTTTTCCTTAAGCCGATGGCTTGTGAAATAATGGATGACAGTAGCCCCACGTGCTCTCTAAATGTTATATTGTGCCCTTCCTTCAGTGTACTACTGCGTTTACCCAGTGTACTATGTTGTCCTTCTCCCTCTGTAGTTCAGACTCCGAAGTTGAAGAGGTTTTTCCAGACCCCAGTACCCTCACAACTGAAGTCCGATCCTTAGAGACCTCTGTGTCAGAGACCTCCACAGCCGATACGAGCAAACAAGAGCTCCCCCGAGTGAAAGGAGACATTGTCATTCCTCTAGACAGAGAGGAGGAAGAATCAATCGGCTCTACAATCACCCTTTTGGAAAAGGAGGAGTTTGATGGAGAGAAAGAGACCCGGGATCAGCATGAGCAACGACTACAAATCCAGAAGTACTGTCCACAGCTCTCTTCCCTTTCTTGCTGTTGCGCCGCTTCCCTCCAGGAGTATCTCCATCAGCAGTGTTCGACCCTGCTGTCCAAAAAAAGGAAATGCCAAGCCATGAAGGGAAAGCAAGTCATTATTCCCATTCTAACCCCCACGTGCCATATATCCCTGTCTCCCTCTGCCTGCACTGCACCTCGGCAGCATTACAGCGAGGTACATCGGCCCCGTGATCAAGAGCAAGCCTCTGAACAGGAAACAAAGAGTGAAGCCAGACCGTCGGAAACGCCTCCTCCTCCTCCAGGGGGCCCGGTACAATCTCACACAGAGTCTCCGTCTGAACCTCCTCTGCTGGAGCCCAGTCAAACCTCGAACCTCCCCCGACCCAGTGCCACCGACTCATCCTCTGCCAAACCCGCCCCTATTATGGAGACACCACAGCTGTCTGCTGAGGAGCCAAAGCCGGAAAAGAGCCAGGACGTGCTGGCAGAAGACGCGCACGTGGAGCCCTCAGCCTCCCTCAGTAGCTCCGTAAATGTTAACCCCGAGGTCAGTGCAGCCGTGGACGATGCCGCCGTGGCACAGAAAGAGAACTCCGACACAGACGCCTCTAAACAAGAGACAAAAGCCTCAATCCACAGCCCAGATAAAACGGATGAATACCCAGTCCTCCATCCCACCGCCTCCCCCCAATCAGAACCTCACCCTGACCCGCCAGCCGTACCCGAAAGCAGCACTCCCTCCCCCGACGTGTCCCACCCCGATGCAGACACCCCCACAGAGCTTGAGCCCTCGCCCGTCACGGAAACTAAAACGGATTTTGCGGAAGACGGCTCTACGTCGGCGGGCGGCAAGCCCTCCCCCGTCCCTGACGGACGTCTACGCGGAGGCCCCCAACGGCACGGAGCCCAACGGGAACACGGTGCACGGCTCCAGCCAAAAGGAGTCGGTGTTCATGAGACTCAACAACCGCATCAAGGCGCTGGAGATGAACATGTCACTCAGCGGACGCTACCTGGAGCAGCTAAGCCAGAGGTGAGGAAGACGGACTCGGATCAGTGCTGCTCTGTTAGTAGACTGAGTAGAGGTTTAATGGTGCGTTGTGTGATTCAAGGTATCGAAAGCAGATGGAGGAGATGCAGAAGGCGTTCAACAAAACCATCATTAAACTCCAGAACACGTCCACGATAGCAGAGGAACAGGTGAGCAATGACAGGGCGCAGATGTTCGTCCAGCCAGCTGAAAGTCATAGATATTTATAGCTTTTTCTGTGACTTTTAGTGAATTGTCCCAAAACCACATTGTTCTATTGTACTCAATGCATTTAGTCGCTGGGCGGAGAAACACCCTCAGATTTGTTCTTCCAAGAGCTTTTTGCTGTGGGTTTCAAGCAGCGCTAATTAATGTCTTAGTTCTAGCAATTAATAAAATGACTGCATATAATGTTAAAAGGGTCACTCTCAGTGACAATCAGAAAAAAAACAATAAATACCTTCACACAATAATTTCACTGTGTGTAATTGGTTGTCCCTTTCCTCCCGTAGGACCAGCGTCAGACGGAGTCCATTCAGTTGCTGCAGGGCCAGCTGCAGAACTTGACCCAGCTGGTTGTCAACCTGTCGGTCAGAGTCAGCCAGCTGCAGGATGAGGTAGACGCAACGCTCCGGGCACAAAGCCATCATTTGTAATTAGGGGGTTTCTTCTCTCCAGCGGGACAGTAAATGTACTACTTTTCCTGGAACGAGTGCTTAGGAGGGAGAGTGACGGTGCTGCGTAGTGAGGCTATTTTAATTTAACCCTAACCCTAAAATACGAACACGTTACACACAATGGCTTCTATTGCCAATGAAAGAATAATGCTTCCATGCTGTCACCGGTTGGATATTTTGCCGTTATGTTGAATGTAAGTTATTGCAAAGCAGGATGATTATTCTTTTCACTGAGTGGCACCTCTGCGTTTTAGGAAATGAGCAAGCAGTCACAGGACACGACAAACTGGGACATTTGCATGTAGGTTATTTGAATTTAACGTGTATCGCCACTGTTTTGCTAACGACGTAATCAACGGTGTGTCTCCTAGGTGTCCGACAGGCAGAATTACCTGCTGCTGTCTCTGGCGCTGTGTCTGTGTCTCGGCCTGCTGCTCTGTGCAAACCACCGCCGCGTCCCCACCGGTCCCCCAACCACCGAACCGGAGCCGCCCACACCCAAGAGCTACACCTACTGCTGTCCTGAAAGGTAGCGAGACAATCTGCCCAAAAAATATGCATAATGACGACTACTGTGCTCAAAAAGAAAGAAAAGATCTGAAGAAGAGTGGTGAAAGAGGGGGGGGAAGTGTGAGAAGACACTGAGTGGCGTCTCCAAATGGGCTCTAACCTCTAATGTGCCGACGTTACTACGCCTCCAACGGCTTCTGCTCATTAAGCCAGTTTATTGATACAATTAATCGTAGCGAGTCGCAGGCGGAGACGAGTCGCGTCTCAGTCAAGGTGCTCCACGCGGCCTTTTTCCTCACCCATTACTGTTACCTTTAATAGGCACTTCACTTCCTGTGATGAGACGGGCCTGAAGAGGAGTGCATCCTACCCACTCATACACTCACTTGGCACCAGCGAAGGTACAGTTCTGCTACACGAGTGATGGAGTTTTAACCATTTGCTATCTTGGTGGAAAATTAACATCAGTCTTTGGCTCACAGGCCCAGAAATGCTGCAGGCCGAGGAGACGCAGAGTCTCTGTCCGGCTAACAGAAAGGTGTGTCCAAATGAAATTCTTTCCACTGCAGAATATCCTCCTCAGATGGTCGGTTTAAAAATACTGGCTGTAACTGATTAACAGTCAAGTCTCACTTTCCCCCCCACAGAGGAGACGGCGTAAGATGAAAGCCAATGAGAAAGTGGAGACTCTGAAACCCTCTTTTCATGGCGCTGCAGAGCTGTGTAACGGAGCGGCTTTATGTAACGGTGTACCTGTCACCACAAACCCCGCCCCCTTCGCCAAACGGTTGCTTCAGCCTCTGTTAAGAGACTCGCCGTCGGAGGGCAGCTCCGAGGGGTCCTCGCATTCAGACGACCCTTCTTTCTGTGGCATCGCCACAGCGTGCAACCGAATCTGTGATGGGCTCCCTCGACCAAAGACCCGGGCGGAGAAACGGGCGTTTAGACGCAGGCGTCCAGAGCCCAGTTACGTGGGGTTGGACTTGCTTCAGGTCCCGCGAAGGGACAGGAGAGAGCAAATACGCATCTCCAGCATACAGGACATCATGAACAGAAAGAATGAGCCGGGCTCTGGGACGTTTGGGGTAAACGTTGCCCTCTAAGGTCCTGTTTGACAGGACCTTTTTCCCTCCTCACTGACTGCTTAACTCTTTCCCAAAAGAGATGGATGTTATTTCTGTGGCCACTGGCAGTTTTAGGCTTTGATATGAGACAATCCCTTCACTCTCACTTTTATGTTTTGTTTGTGTTCTCAGTTTATATTTGTCATACTTTAAATCAAAGAAATGTCTTCCCAGCTTTCCATTAAATATTTAAAGTTTTGTTTTTGAAAGATTTACTGTGACTATTGAGTCTACACGTGAACAACATTGTTGAATCAAGTTATGTGGTCGACACACTGAACATCCAGCTTTAACGGCACACCTTTTTATTTAATAAAATTCCAGGTCTGACTTGCTGTCGGGACATATTGTCTCAAACAATCTCAGGATGTTTTCTCACCTTCAAAGTAAAAGCACATGGTGTAAAGCTCAGAAAACACATCGTCCTTTTGGGGATTTTCAATATTGAAATGTGAGTATGGAAAAATACAGCGACGAAAGAAAATGCGACACGGTATGTTTCATTGCTGGTTTTTCCTCCAGTGAACCTGAAAGAGAAGAAGGACTTTTCCTCACAGCGTGAAGACTTTCGGTGAAAAAGTAAACGTCTTTAGTGATCCACAGCTGAAGTGCTTCTGGAGTGACCAAAGGGCCCAAATCAAATATTCCTAGAGCAGCTTAATCAATCATCGGCTGCGCTCCGGTCCAGTCATGGAGTGAATAACCACACAAATTAGTGGAATATTGTGTTCTATCCAAGTCAAATATTCAATAAGACAAGGGAGCAAGTGTAGCAAAGCCTCCCCTCTGCAAGTGGCAACATTTTTAATGGTACGAAGTAATTTACAAATTAGAACTATTTTGCATTTATACATAGCTTTAAAAAATCGTATTAATCTCTACTTTTCACAGCTGAAGATCGCTTGACTGGCTGGAACAGGTAGAATACGGAATAGCCCTGACGCGTGGAGTTCGCGGAGCGTGGGAAACCACAGCACTTACGCACAATACACACCGATCGCCCACGTGTGGAGCTGAAGACCCCTCTGCGCTTTGATTGGATGGCTAGTTAGCTAGTTAGCTTAGCACGTAGCGACACACCTCTCTGTTATGCTCTGCTGTAGAAGTTAGTGTTTCGTAGATGGATACCGCCACCGATGTGTATCATGTACATGTACGTTTGAAAAGTCTTCACTCTGATGGAAACTCCTCGATGTTCACCAGCTGCAAGGTGAGAAAACAAACCGCTGTTAAACATATTCGTTCAATATTCACACACAGTTTATTTATAAATAAATAAAACCGTATGACGCAATGACTTCAGCCAGGTGTGAGTGGCCCCTCTAAGTGTAGTGTCGCCCCGTCCAGCAGGGGGCAGTGTCCTCCTTAGATAGACCTTCACAGTAGCATCATTTCCACATCCATGAGTCATTACTCAGGATGGAAGTAAATTAGTTCAAGGGCTATTACTGCTCTCCACCCATGCATATTAACTTGCTCTTGTCTTTACCACCACGGAGCCGCTCAGACGGCTCTCCTTATTATCATATTTGGGTTCTTTTTTATTAAAATGCTCTAGTTAGATTCTGAAGCGAGGAATTATTCCGTCCAAACATGCTCCCTGTTTAGTAGCGTTCATTTGAAAGTGGTTCATGGAAACTAGAACACTGGCTGAGATTGCGTTTGAAGACGGCATTGTTTGATGTGCAGCCTCGACCGAAGGCATTTATCACGTGGCTCCAGCTGTGTATTTCAAGTCAGAAGAACTGGGATTAATTCCATTACTTCCACACGCTGTCTGTCTCTTTCTCGGCCTCGCTGCGGTCAGCAGTGGTTCAGAACGGTGGAGCATGTGAGAAATGAGGTTAAAACCTCTTTATTCATCTGACCTGGTTGGATTGCAGGAGCCTTTCAGAGATAAGCGGGCCTGATGCTCTCCCCCCCCCTCCGTCATTTTGTTAACAGAATTCCTAGGTTTCTCTTTGCCCTGCCTCCTTTCCAAAGATTATCTGAAAATGCAGGGCTGCAATCCTCTTTTCCCAGGGCGCTCTATCCGAGGTCCGTCATGGACTGAATATTCTCACTGTGCTGTTGTATCTGCACGTTTCTATTCTGATACACAGGCGTCCGCTTGGATATTTCGTTAGTTAGCTCACCCTTCTGCCCGAGTCCTGGCAACACAGAGGAAATTAAGGCCTGGTCAAAGTATGTACTAAAGTGGCATTCCACCAACTTTACCCCGTGAAGGTTGGTTCAATGTCATAACATCTTCTTTTTTTTTTTTTTTTAACCACCTCGGCAATGAAAAAGACTGATCACTGCATTCCTGGTGCGAACATTTGTATCACGTGAAGGCCGAAGACGTGTTTTTCTCCTGTTGTTTGCTTGAATTTCCCCCTTTCTGCAGTTTATTAACCCCAAATTGCTACATATCACCAGGAACTTTGGTTATTTTTCTCGGTCTTCTATTTCCTTTGGTCTCAATGAGTAAAGCCCAAGGATAAGTGCATCAACTTTCAACTGGCACTAACACATCTTTGCTTGAATTCGCACCTCTGGAGGCAAATCGCACCTTCCCTCGTGTCTGCCGAGTCCACGCGCTGCAGCGCGGCCTCGGAGTCGTGGCTGCAGCACATCGGGAGAAGACGGCACCCGCCGATGTCATCGGGCCTCAGCTTGTTTAGGCTCGAAGACCGAACCTTCATACAACAAACTGGCAGCATGGGGACATGGGAACATGTGTGTGCGTGTAGCGATCACCGGAGGGGGGGACCAAAAAGGGTGCTGTTAGTTGCATTGTGGGACATTTAAGGGTATTTGAAGCTTGACACGCTTTTCAGGAGGAGATACCTGCATCCGTTGTCTTTGCGTGTGTAGATGGTTAAGGGTTTCTCGACGTCCTCTTTAAAAAGCAGACCTTCACTTTTCATTTTCTTTTTCTCAAACATATCTTTCCATCTCTTCATGGCTTGACGCACACATTTGTATGGATTTATTTTAATGTATATGTGTGTATCCTCTTTTTAAAGCTTTTCCTTTCTCTCAGTGTGGGTGGGGGGTGGTGGGCTGTTAGTGAGGGGGGGGGGGATCTCGTCCTTGTGAACGCATGCGATTGGAAGAGAATAATCCTTTGAGTGCTTGGATTTTTTTTTTTTTTAGGGAGGCGGGGGGCTTCTTTGATGTTCTGCTGGATACCATTTGAGAGCGCGGTATTAAACGCGGATTTCCAACTTCTGTCATGGATTCTCCCCCCACCTCCCCCTCCCTCCCACCCTCCCACCGCTGTCTCCGCGAGTGTCATTGCTCATTTCCTTCTCCTTCTTTAAATGACCTCGCTCATTATATTTCCTCGACCCAATTTCCCTCACTTCCTCCCCGGCGGCGGACGTCACAATAAGCGCACTTGTAGTTGTGATTTAGCAGCGGTTAAATCTCCTTCCTGGTTGCGCTACGGTGGCATTCTGACAGGCCCGTTTAGCAGGGTGCTTAGCAAGAGGCCGATAAGACCTTGGCAGCCACTTGGAATCAATTGGGCCGTGCCTTACCCGCTCGGTAAGCCCACTGTCGCAGAAGGCCCCCGCCCATTCCCATGTGCGCCTGTGATTAAGCCGGGTGTGAAGGGCTGAAGTAGACACTCAAAACAGAAAAAGAGAGGAGAGAAAACCCCAGAAACCGCTGCAGACGCGCCATGAGCCTTTGGTAGAAGACGCACGCGTATGAATAACAGTGTCCTCCAGGGAAGCTGCTGCTTAACGTTTCATGGACTTATTTCCTCCTCTGCCATCCCGGCTCGACTGACCCGGGATGTGGATACACGTCACATGTCACTCACACATCCTGCGTCCGTGTGACACGAGCACAGCTGTACGGACGCACAACGTGGAGTCCACAAGCGCCGGGTCTCACCGGGCCGCCGTGCGGGGTCCACATGGGGCGGGAGAGAGACACCACTGGAGACGCGTGCACACACACACAGATGAGATGTGACATGTTGACTAAATACAGGGTAGGATGCACATCATTCAGCCCGCAGTAAAGAATGATCATGCATGACGTGCTCTTTCACAGAAGCGCGTAGCCTAACCTTTCCCCCCCTCTGATGAATGAGTCACAACTCAGACGCCAAAGGTGACCTTACTCGCTGTTTGTTTCCGAGCGAAGCCCAAAACACACCTGATATTACAATGTAGAAGTAGTCAAATTCATTTACTTTTTTATTGTACATATTGGAGCATATTACATATTTGAGCGCACACGTATTCATGATCTTAATCCCTGACACACATCCAGTGCAAATGCTTTCACGAATTATATAACACCCACTAGGTTGAATATTAATGTTAATGGCTTATGTCATTTGCAAATTAATAGTGGACTCCTAGTTAAAAATGAGATACGGCTCTACTTAACACGACGGGACACAAAAACCACCGTGAAATAAACTCACTATTGCTCACTATCGAAAATGTCAGCTTAGCCGAAAGGGAAGCAAAACACGTGTTCTCATACTTATCCTGACATGTTGAGCACATAAAGTGAACATGAGGAAAATCTTCAACATTATTGGTCAACTAGCAGCTGATTCAGAGTTGATTAAAAAGTGATGTGGGAACTAATTGTCAGTTACTGGTTTATCGATAAAATAAACCGCATCAACATCGTGAGGCTTGTTTCATATAGTTCAGGAACCACAGGTTTGAGGAGGAAGAGGAGGAGGAGGAGGTGGAGAGGTACACACTGGAACAAAAAAACATGCAAACACACACACGCATCTTTGATCCCAACCGCACACCTGTAAACGCTCATGACAAAACCTATCCGGAGACAAACACCTGGCAAAGTGCTCCACGCTGCTGCCTTGCTACTGTTCCCCGATCACGGTCAACGTCTGGAGGACGACGACTCCCACTCAGACTCACGAGGTGAAAGCAACACCAGCCACACTGGTGACAATACTCCACAATATGAGAGCCCCGTAGTAAATGCCATTTTAGTGAAGCTCTAATCCTTGTTCTCTGTTGAAACTGAACTAATTTGATTACCATTCTTGAGAATTGCCTTGTTGCTAGGCAAACCTAATTTGCCGGAAATCTAGACGATGACTGCGTGCTCTCATGCGCCTCTGTAATGTGCTAATTAGTATTTAAATTAACAAGAATATCTTGTGTTGCTGCCTTTTTTTTGTAATTGTGATTCATAGTGCTTCGAACAAACATCGCAGTATTATGTAACGCGGCTGGGCGAGAAATAAAAAGACTCAAATGGCCCACACAAAAGCCCCAGTTTCTTGAACGCCGTTCGACCTCAGTCTTCGACTGGTGATTCATTCCACGTGTGGCTTAATAATCTCC